AGAGAGATTCGGATGTGGGCTAATGAATAACTGGTTTCTATTTATATTATTATGAACATTACAGGCCCTGAAAAAAGATTACCCATTCATTACTTTGTACACTCAATCTTCTGATCGTGTCTAAATATTTTTATGACACCACTGTCATCATTTGCCATATTTGGGATAGTTGTATGATAATATTACTAAACAAAAGTAACTGCCACTTATTAGGTACTTCAGTGCCAGATGCTAGCTCTAACCCCCTCAATAACATTAAAATGTAGTTTTAATTCTAAATTGATAATAGTCTATATCATCTATAGTGATTAGATCAGGGTAATTAGTATACCCATCATTTCAAACATTTATCATTTCTTTATGTTGGGAACATTCAATATCCTCCTATTTGAAACTATATATTAGTGCTAACTACAGTCACCCTATAGTGCTATAGAACACTAGAACTTATTCCTCCTGTCTAGCTGTAATTTTGCATCCTTTAACAAATACTAGAGGCTAGGAAGGGTGGGGGAAGAAGGGATAGGGAGAGATTTGTTAAAAGGTAGTTTTAAAATATTTTATTTTATTTTTAGAGACAGGGTCTTGCTCTGTCACCCAGGCTGGAGTGCAGTGGCACAATCCACAGCTCACTTCAGCCTTGAACTCCTGGGATCAAGCAATCCTCCTGCTTCAACTTCCTGAGTTGCTGGGACTACAGAGGCACACCACCACACCTGCCTAATTTTTAAAAATTTTGTAGAGATAGGGTCTTGCTATGTTGCCCAGGCTGGTTTTGACCTCCCGGCCTCAAGTGATCTTCCTGTCTCAATCTCCAAAGTGCTGGAATTGAAGGCATGAGCCACTGCATTAGGCTGAAAAGGTAGTTTTAATTACCCGCATCAGAAGCCCAGAGGGGAGGTCACTCAGTTTGTAAATGACAAAGTAGGATTTACATGCAAAGCCTCATGCTAACACTCCACTCTGGACACTTCCTCTCTTTGTCTGTTTAGTGTGGATAGAGCCTATCAAAAACAGAATTTTTAACCGTGGACTCCTGAATGCTTTAGGGTCACTGTTTGTTTGTCTTAGTTCACATTATTCAATTCTTACCTGGATATACCCCTGTCAATTTAATCTCTTGACCTAAAAATCATATTAATTAAACTCCACTACTTACAGCCATTTTGTCTTAACAGCTTTTTTTTTTTTTTTTTGAGACAGGGTCTCGCTCTGTCACCCAGGCTGAAGGGCAGTGGGGCGATCCTGGCTCACTGCAACCTCCGCCTCCTGGGTTCAAGCAATTCTCCTGCCTCAGCCTCCCGAGTAGCTGGGATTACAGGTGCGTGCCACGATGCCCGGCTAATTTTTGTAGTTTTAATAGAGACGGTGTCTCACCACATTGGCTAGGCTGGTCTCAAACTCCTGGTCTCAAGTGATCTGACCGCCTCAGCCTCCCAAAGTGCTGGGATTACAGGCATGAGCCACCACACCCGGCTTGTCTTAACAGTTTCTATACTCCCCAAGAGTGAGTTGCAAATGAACTAAAAGTCAAGCTTGTAGGAGCTACAGAGAGTCACTGGAGAATTCCTATTTATATTCCCCAGCTGGTCATGGCCTCATAAGTATAGTGGCTGCCTCTTATTCACCTCTGTAAGCCCAAGTCTGACACATTGCTGGTGCAGTACATACCCAGAGAATATGTGTTGACTTAAATAATTTGGAATCCAAGGGCCAGTGTCAAATTTCAATCTAAGAGTTGCATCCATTACCAAAGATCCTGATTTCTTCCTAGACAGCATCTCAATGTCTGACTCCAATTAGTGGCATAAGTAATTTCTCCATTTCCAACCTTGCCTTACTTAGTTTGTCCCTATCCATATACTGCCAGTGGCTCTACAGGCATCTGGGCCATTTTAGTCTGTGCCCTGAATTTCTTTCTATGTGAAAAGGAGAATATCAGTGGAAAGGAAGAAAGAAGGGGGAAAAAATGGAGAGAAGGAGGGAGGAAAGGAAGGGAAAGAGGGAGAGAGATGGAGGTAAACAGAATGACAGATAGAGCTATAATATATTTGGGTAATAGGGAAATGACTACAAATAATTAGGAGTTACAGAGCATTTCTAAGCTGAAAAATAGCCTCAGCATTAGTCTAATCCCTTCACTCATCAATGTGGATTCCGAGGACTGAATAGGAAAAATTAGCTCCCAAGACCACATAGCTTGTCAGTAAGTGGCAGAGTTAGACCTGGAGTCCAATTCTCTCTCTCTTGTCTACTGGGCTTTTCAGCTGCACCATACTGTTGTATAGGATAAAGATTCTCCTTTATAGAAGACCAGCTTCTGGACTACTGTCCCTCCTGACTAGAAAACCTGAATCTAGAAACACCTAATAGAAATGATAGTATAAAAATGTGTTCCTGAAAGAGTAAGTACAACGTCTGCAGAATTGTTCATTTCAATTTACAAGGAAAGAAGAAAAGAAAACCAAAGGAGAAAATAAACCAATGCAAGACAACAGAAGTGTGCATACCTTTACAGCCCCATCTACAAAAGCTTCCTCTAAGTGGGGGAAGAAAAAAAAGCATATGAAGTATACAGGGCATATGCCCAATACCTTCCTTTTCTTAGATTGCTGTTATTGGAATAATAAATTGATTGTTCAACATTGCCAAATCACATAAACATATATTAATGTATAGTTTACCTGTACTCAGGTTTACTTTTCCAGTTTAGGAAAATATTGCATTTAAAAATGTTTCTAGTTTTCCAACATCAAGCGAGAAAAAAGTCTTAATTGGAGCTTGACAGAATCTACCTCAGGGACTCATACTTGAATTATGATCCCAAGACAGGCCTCTGCTGAGAACTCACTAAGATTTTCAGGTTGTCACAATATTTTTGAAACAAAGAGAAAGTGTTTTATTATGGTTTTACCTAGCACTATAGCTTTTTGTGATAAGAGACAAGACATATAGTTCTTTTCCTGGGGTCTTTTGTGCACCTGTCCACAGGCTTCTGCTAGCAATTGGAAGCCATGCAGAACAGAAAGCAGAATCTCATTTGGATGCAGCTCTCACTTTTCTATTCCAAGATGCACGCACCCATGAAAAGAAATTCTTGCTGCATGAAATTCAGAGATGCTGGAAATTAGGCAAAATCATCCTCTGGCCCAGAAAAGACAAAGGGTGGACAGAGCATAGATTCGGAACTCAGGAGATCCAGAATCCAGGCTGTGCCCTGCCCCTAATGGGATAGGAAGTCTTAGAAAAATTCCTCATCTTCTCTGGATTTTAATCTCTTCAGTAACAGAATGAGGAGATTGGACAAAGTGACTTACAAGGTTTCTTCTGGAAATGTTCCGTGGCATAAATATATCTAACAATTCTGCTCAGCCAATAAAATTTGTCCACCACCCATCACCCTGCCTCCTGATAGTTACTGGGAATTCTCTCCACATCTCTACCTGTCTGCAGGAACCTCCATTCTAGTAGTAACAACTTCCCTGCATACTCCAAATGTAGGACTGAACACAGTGGAACACACAGAGTATGCTCTGGAGTGGAACGTGGTATGTCTGGGAATATTTTAGACCCTCTGCTAAGAGCTGTAATTTCTGAGCCCTGAAAGGGCTGCATAACTAGATAGTCTTACTTCTCAGGAGGTTCTATGGCCTGAATCTTAAGAACAGGATCATTTATAATGAGGCTTTAGGTCACCATAATACCACTTAGAATCCAGGTCACAGGACTGCATTTGGATAAGATTATATTCTTTTCCATTTCTTCAGATATTGGATACCTTTAGATAGGACTGATTTAGAGATAATGGACTCATATTTCTAAGGCTACACTATTATGTTGTTATATTATGGCAAAAGGGTGCTATTCCAGTTCCTATTGTGATATATTTAATTTCTTTGACTTTTCTCTTCTCTACCCAATCCTACCCACTTCCTCTACAGACTTCCTTCTATCCCCGAGAGTTTTGCAGTCTACTGGATGAGATAATTTCCTTTGTTTTTTACCCAGATATTCCTCCCCTCCACCATCAACATCTACCCATCAGGGAAGAAAAATGGCCACATGGAGTTGGACTTAATGAGTTTACCATAACCACATTACAAGGCAGGAAAGAAAAAAAGCCTTCCCTTTAATAAGGATGTAGGACTTCTTCTGACAAATCATAAAAGTTTTATTAATTAATTGGAAGCCGTCCCCAAAAATGGCATTTCCGAGGTTTCTATCTTGAGCTGCTGAATTCTGATCACATAGAATCCTCACCACAAACTGGACTGGAGGACAAAATTCAATTTTCCTTCTTCTTTCTGGAGGCAAAACAGGGACCCACATCAAAGGATCCTTTCAGAGGAGCTGCTAATGAGCTCTAGGACACCACAGAATTTTTGTTGCCAAGTGTTCACAAAAACAGGGAAGGCCCCAAACACATCTTGCTGATGAAACGATGAACAATTATAAATCAAAGAGCATTTTTGTGCTGCTTACTGACACAGTTCCTGCCCTCTCTCTGTCTTTTCTACATCCATAAAGAAACTCAAGTTCTTAAAATTAAAAAAAAAGAAAAAGTAGAAAAAAGGAGAGAGTGGTGGGAGCAGAAGAAAGGGTGATGAGGTGGAATTACATACTTCATATTTGCCAAAGTTCTAAAGCAAAATAAGAAATCAGCCTTTCACGACCTTTAAAGGAGCAAAGATAGCATTAAAACAATGACAGGAAAACCCTCTGGACGATGGGCGTGTTTAAGGACCATCTTCACTTAGGTATCAAACAGAGCACATCCAACTCCGTTTTGGAAAAAGTAATTCCTTCAAAAGAGTGAAGATAAACATTTCTTGTAATTTCCTTTTCTGCAAGTTGGGTTCTGCAATATTAGTTCTTAGATTAGTCCACCCCCAGTACAATATTAAAATCTGCCCAAGACTTTGCTATGAAATGCCAGTTAAAGCTGAAGAAGCACCGTTACACAGTCTGCAGTTGGAAGATCATAAAAAAATCATTCTTACCTCTGAACCATCATGACCTCGGCTCATTTAAAGGAACTGAAGACAGTGCTTAAGACAAAAGACACACGTATTAAGCACTTGTGTGACTTGTGTGCTGTGTGTGTGTGTGCGCCTGCGCGCATGTGCTTGCATTTTCTCCAACTACAAACCAGTGGAAGTAGGAACTTAAAACCCCCGACGCCTTCCGCTGCCATATAATCTCAAGGAAATGACCATACTGTTTGTTGCTTTGATTAGAAACAAAAGCCTTTCAATATGAGTCACGGGAGAAATGGGAAAATAAAAACAACTGAAAAACTTCTGCTATTTCTTTTGGCCACTCAAAGGCTTTCTTTACTACACATTTAAAACATGATGAAATGTCATCTACTGTTTTCTAAACTTCATTGATAATGCAAGCTTTAGTTTGGATAATTATTCAGAGATAGGCAATGCCATGTACAAATCTAAACTTCAATTTCGGCTCTTCGTTCTACGCTTGTTCTGGATGAGGCTGGGAATTTAATGAATATAAATAAAAATAATATTTAACTCAACTTTGCTACTCACAGCCAGTTGATGTCAACAGCTTTTCCACTCAGAAAGAAACTCAGAATTCCATGGAACAACCTTAGTAAAATTAATCAGAGATGCCAGCCACAACAGAAAATCTTGGCAGAGTGATGTGGTCTCAGAAAAGATTCATTTCACCATTTGCATTTAATGAAATCATTACTATTAAAGTCATTCAGTGAATAGGAAATAATTAAAATACATTATGCTTGAAGGAAGAGAGAAAAACATATAGAATATAGGAAAAATAATAAATTTACTTTTTTTTAAAAAAAGAATGATTAAGTAAAAGCTTGTGACAGGGTATCATGCTCCTCCCACCTGAAAAAAAGAACAGTCTGGAATTTTGCTCAAGAGTATGGTACGGTTAAGAACATAACCGTAAGACTAAGTCTCCAAGACTCTCTAGAGTCAGAGAAACCTGGTGTATTACAGCTGTATATATCCGTGGGAAAGTTACTTGATCTTTCTGAGAATTGGTTCCCTCCTTTGTAAAATGGAGATAAAAATCCTGATATCCTTCAGGAGTGCTGGGGGAATTAAAAGAGATAGTTCATGGAAAGCTCAAAGAATTTGCCTGGGAGATACCACAGGCATCTAAATACAGGGTGGGGTACCTCCCTTTACCCCTACAAAATGTTAATCCCTCAGAAACCAGGGAGCAGCTTTATCTTCAAATCCTTGCAAAGACTCTAATTACTATGACCACAATATATTGTCTGGGGAAGACACGGCAGCCTGTAACAACTTCAGTCAATGCCAAATTTGGATGAAAATAGAAATCACTTGATGATATCAGTAGAAAAGGTGAGAAAAGGCAAAACCTTTAATACAGATTTAGTAATTATTTGTGAGCACGTGACCTCCCAATTGGAGGGGTTGGATGTTAGAAGAAACAAGTTACTTAAACATTATTTCATGCATATATACTTATAGGATAAATGGAAAAAGGAAAAAAAAATGCTGGTCAATGATATTCCCAGAAAAGGATCACATATGGAGACTGAAGAAGTGCTATATAGCTCAAACAACTTGGGCAGAAGTGGAGATGCTGTGCTGTGATACAAGGATGGCTCAAAGAAGACTTTTGTTTCAGTGCCAGCACACAGATGCACGTGAAGAAGTTGAATAAAATTATTCAATCAAGAAAGAAATCACTCCAGTTATTAATCTGCATAACAAGTGTTATGACACTCCTAATATAAGGAGTAAATTTTCTAATATCTCATATACATTTCTAAACTTTTACATAGGTTAACCCAAAACATTTGCTCTGAGTCTTCTCGTTGGGAAGGTGGGGAATTATTATAGTACTTTATTTGAGAGAACCTTCTATTTGTTAACATATAACAGTAAAAACTCAATACATGGTACCTTTTCTTACTGGGCTGGAGAGTCAACTGAGAGAACTAGTGGGACATTTCTGATTGTATGGTAAAAATGTTTTCACTGTTGAAGGACAATCAGAATTTTGATAGCCAGTTTCAGCAGCAAGATGGGCTAGATTAGGCCAGGCTAAAACCAGGAGGCCAGGGCAGCTTGAGGGCCAGGTGAAGGTTGACAGATCAAATACGGGAGGAGGCTGGGCAAGCTCAGGTTATGGTGTGAGAACACATAGAGATGGGAGTCTATCAGGAGTATTAAAATTAGGAGGCCAGGCGCAGTGTCTCACGCCTGTAATCTCAGCACTTTGGGAGGCTGAGGTGGGCGGATCACCTGAGGTAAGGAGTTTGAGACCAGCCTGGCCAACATGGCGTAACCCCGTCTCTACTAAAAATAGAAAAATTAGCCAAGTGTGGTGGCACATGCCTGTCTTCCCAGCTACTTGGGAGGCTGAGGCAGGAGAATTGCTTCAACCTGGGAGACAGAGGTTGCAGTGAGCCGAGATCGCGCCACTGCACTCCAGCCTGGATGACAGACCAAGACTCCGTCTCAAAAAAAAAAAAAAAAAAATTAGGAAACAGGATCCCTGCTTTTCTATGGGGACACTATCCAAATAACTGGGGGTTGGGGGGAACCCCATATCCCCATATAAAGAGGATGAATATGTGATTCCAGACTGACCAATAAAATCACTCTACCCCAATGTGATGGTTAATACTTAGCGTCAACTTGATTGGATTGAAGGATGCCAAGTATTGATCCTGGGTGTGCCTCTGAGGGTATTGCCAAAGGAGATTAACATTTAAGTCAGTGGGCTGGGAAAGGCAGACCCACCCTTGATCTGGGTGGGCACCATCTAATCAGCTGCTAGTGTGGCTAGAATATAAAGCAGGCAGAAAAATGTGAAAAGACAAGACTGGCCTAGCCTCCCAGCCTACATTTTTCTCCCATGCTGGATGCTTCCTGACCTCGAACATCAGACTCCAATTTCTTCAGTTTGGGGACTCGGATTGGCTCTCCTTGCTCCTCAGCCTGCAGACAGCCTATTGTGGGACCTTGTGATCATGTGAGTTAATGTGAGTTAATGCTTAATAAACTCCCCTTTATATATATATAAAATATATATAACATAACACATAATATGTAACATATTATATAACATACAACATATAATATAATATATAACATATTATATATAACATATACAATATAATATATATTATATATAGTATCCTATTAATTCTGTCCCTTTAGAGAACCCTTACGAATACACCTCCTACCCATTAGTTATAGGGATCAGAGAAGAAGTATCTCTGTTTTTGTTTGTTCTGGAGTTACAAAGTTGCTTGGATGAGAGTCTGGGACTACCAGGAAACCTCATGCCAGACAGAAGTGTTGTAGAGAGACAGACTCCAATGTCATTGTCTGAATTACTAAATGCCATTGAACCTGAAGTCATTCCCTGGCTTTTTCAGTTACTGAGTCTATAACTTCCGTTTCTGCTCAAGCTAGTTCTGATTTTCAAACAAAACTTTATTTGCGAACAAAAAGATCCTATCTAATATGTCAGTTTGTGTGAGAAAAGATAATTGGAATCTGACACCATTAGTCCACTGACCAACACTGTTTGAGAATGTGGGTGCTTATAAACACAGGATTGGGGAGTTTGGTGGGGCTTTAGGAGCAAAGATGGGACAAGGGCATAGGTGCCAGGGATTCAGTCTTGAGGAAATGGGAGGAAATGGATAATTCCTGCAGGAGTGGGGTATCAGACAGGAGTTTTGCAATGAGTAAATCAGAAGGGGTCCCAGATAACTGGCATTCAAAGACCAGAACAGGACAGTGGCAAAGCTGATGCTATATCCAACCTGAAACAAATGTTCTTCCAAATGCCTTCTGCCATGCAGTCAGACACAAGGCAAGGTTTAACCTGGGATTTGGGAATGTAGACTTGGGGAGCCATGTTTAGGAGTCCCACTGAAAATGAAACTATATCCTGGAATAGGTCCAAATGAAATATGAGCTTCTATGTGAAACTGTGCCTATAAAATACAAATTGTGACACAGTTGGATGATCACCTAACTGGTGAGCTTGTACATATGTATTGGTGACTTTGTGGCAGCTTTCATTGACTGTGAGGGTGGAACAAGGGAAATATGTTCACCAATTTAAGGAAAAATATGTGGAAGCAGGATCCCAACTTTTATCTTTAAGAGAAGCTTTGCGTTTTATCACAAAAGTATCACTTTCATCACAGAACATTTCACAAACTGAATGAATGCCAGACGCACCATAAAATTGCAACAGAGGCAATGTATTGTAATTTTCCAACACTCTGATGGCCGGGCATAGAACTAAACCATTTGTCATAAAGTAAGAGGACAAACTTTAAGACCAGCTCATCTCCTCCTAAGTTTAGTGAGGTTCGCACTAAAGAAAAAAGTATTTCCTCATAACTTCTCATCTTTCTCTAATTCAGCCTCTAGAAACAGTTCAGTTCGGCTCAAATATTTCTTGAGCATCAAATACATGCAGAGGCCTTACAAGGAAGTCAAAGATGAAAACACCATGGTTCTGACCTTCGACAAATTTACAGCCTGGACCTGGCATCTCTCAAAAAGAGAAGAGTAATCACTTTATTTGTCACCTCATAGCCAATTCTGCAATTGAGGAATTACACATTCCTTTCACGCACATGCTGGTTTCCGTTTTTAATCTTTTATCAATCTGTATGTCAGAGCTTCTTGGATACCTGATGATTTTTCTTAAATTTGCATTCATTGCAAATTTTAGAAAAATTTTCTTTTTTGTAATTATTTTTACAAAATTACAAAAATATTTAAATTTTTACAATCGAAAATAATTGTAAAAAATTATTTTTAAAAAATAATTTTGTAATTATTGTTTTGAACGCCTATCAGGTATTGGACATCAGAGCTGGGTGTGTGGCCTATGTACGCCCACAGGATTCAGTGTTCAGAAGGGTCTCATGCTTGGTTTAGTGTTCTGCTGTCTCACAAGTTCTTCATCATTTTTGAACAAGGAATCCCACATTTTCATTTTGCATTGTGCTATGGTTTGAATGTCCCCACTAAAACTCATGTTAAAATTTAATTGGCATTCTCACAGTATTAAGAGATGGGACTGGCCAGATCGGGGGGCGGGGGGCGGGGGCACATGCCTGTAATCCCAGCAGTTTGGGAAGCCAACAAGAACAGATTGCTTGAGTTCAGGAGTTTGAGATCAGTCAGGGCAATATGGTGAAACTCCATCTCTACAAAAATCACAAAAATTAACCAAGTGTGATGGCGTGTGCCTATAGTCCCAGATACTCAGGAGGCTGAGGTAGGAGAATCACTTGAGCCTAGGAAGTTGAGGCTGCAATGAGCCAAGACTGTGCCACTCTACACTCCAGCCTGGGTGACACAGTGAGACCCTGCCTCATAAACAAACAAACAAAAAAAGAAGTGGGACCTTTAAGACATGATAATGAATTAATTCATTATTACAGTAGTAGATTAGTTATCATGGAGGTAGGTTTCTAATAAAAGATAAGTTCAGCCCACATTTTTCCCCTTTCTTCCTATGAACCTGTGTGCCCTTCTGCCTTCAGCCATGTGATGACCCTGCCAGATGCCAGTGCCATGTTCTTGGACTTCCAGCCTCCAAGAACCATAAGCCAAATAAATCTGTTTGTTTGTTTTTTTTTCCTGAGACGGTGGGGGAACAGTGGTGAACAGGAGAGGTATCCAGAGGGGGGCATGAAACAAAAAATAATTTTATTCATAAATGAGGTAATTTCAGATAAGAGCAAGACTTAGGAAGAAAATAAAGCAGGAAGACATGATAAAGAGGGGTGGAGAATGCTGTCTGGGGAGAGTGAGCTCCTGAATTAAGACTGGAGATCAGGAAAGAGCCAGTCACAGGAATAATTGGGTTCAGGACCATTTCTGCCTTGTTCAGGGCTATAACATGTGGAACCTGGAAATTTCTCAACTAATATTTTGAATGAATAGAACTTCTGTTTAAAAAGGAAAAGTACCAAATACAGAAAATTAATTCATAATTTAGTACAAACTGGGACTGACCGATAAGGAACATTTAAGTTTATTTAAGGTCTCCTTCAGGATCACATGTTTTAGCAGCTGGAGGGGGTGCACCATGTCCAGGAAAAACAAACCTGATGGAAAAGTTCATTACTCATATTCCCCTCTAGACAGAAAAAGAGGGAAAACTTTTGTGCTAGGCAAATTTTCTTGCTTTCTTAACCATAAATGGAAAAACAGAGATGAAAAGAGGTAGGGAGAGAAGCAGGCATGGTAGGGGTTTCCTTTCTGTCTGTTTCATAGGATGAAGGCCATGACTTTTGACTTGGTTTTACGATAAGGGACGTGCAGTTTTTTTAGGTGACGCACATAAACTTTGTAAAATTGAGTCTCATCTCTGTGTTTGGAAAAATGAAAAGGGTCTTCAAAATTCATTCTTGAAATCCACTTTACAAATGGGAAACTGAGGCACTGGGATGTCTGGTAGCAAAAGTCTCCCCAGTTGGGGGTAGAAGAACAGGATTTGAACCCAGGGCCCATGCTCTTACACAAGGCCTTTCCATTTGGCCATTGTAGACAAGGTGGAATGCATCCAGGGGTTAACACTCAGGCATTCTGTTAGATTTCCTTCCTGTCTTTCTGCAGAACCCGGCCTTTTGTTTTGTTTTCCCCTTTCTCTCTCCCTTTGTATTCCTTTAAAGCCAAAACAAAAAAGTTTTTATAATGGAAAATTTCAAGTACACACAAAAAGTCAAAGACCAGTGTAATAACCACCTCCCATGTTTCCACCTAGTTTTAAGTTATCAACACCTGGCTAATATTGTTTCATTTATATTCTCACCTACTTTCTGCCCTCCTGTATGTATTATTTTGAAGCAAAACCAAGACGTAACTAATTTCATCTGTAAATAATTCAATATAAAAGATAAGGACTCTTTTTTAAACATAACTCTAAATACTTAAAAAAAGTTAACAAAAATTCCTTAATATCATCAGATATCTAGTCTTTAAATATCCAATTATCTGATTAATGTCTTTTTTCCCCAAGTTTGTTTGAATCAAAATAAAAAAAAGAAAAGCTCCACATTTTGCAATTGGTTGATATTTTCCTCAGGTCTTTGTTAACCTACAGGTTCCTGTTCCATCCATCTCTCTCTTTTTCTCTCCTCTCTCTCTCATTGCAATTTATTTGTTGAAGACACTAGGCTGTTAATCCTGTAAATTCTCCTACCACCTAGGTTTTGCTTAT